ACCAGATAATAGAGATGAATTCCTTTAAACTAATGAATGACCATGAATTTTACCCTATAAATTGCTACAAATGAAAAGATAATAAAATAATTCAACTTACCACGGGAACTCCTTTTCCATAAAAGTAAAGAAGACCAAGCCCATGAAGGCCAATTGCATTGCCCTAGAAAAGTTTTAAAAAGGCAAGTAAAGTCCCAGAAGAATTCATGATAAAGAAAATTACTGCAAAATTATTCAAAATATTTGACATGCACCCAGTAAGAGAGTAATCAAGGCAGTTGACCGGTTATTCTGACCCACTCTAGTTTCTCCTTTTGTACTTTCATAAACCCTTCTGGCTAGAAAAGGGAAGAGGGAAACAAAAGTCAAATCTCTCCCCCATTCTTGTATTCAACACTTATTTAGGACTTGCTTTGTGTATGATTCCATAGTAGGCACTGGGCAGAGGTAGGAGGTGAAAGGTAAAAGATGAAGAAGCTATAGTCCCTGCCTTGGAGAATTCACACACTAGTGGGCTCTGAGCCATATCAAAGGGGAGGGGCAGGTCAGACCTCTTAAGAGTTCTGTCAAATGTGGTAAGTCCTAAAGTTGAAATAGATTGAGGCCGGGTGTGGTGGCTCACACCTGTAATCCCAGCACTTTCGGAGGCTGAGGTGAGGGGACCACCTGAAGTCAGGAGTTTGAGACCAGCCTGGCCAACATGGCGAAATCCCGTTTCCACTAAAAATGTAAAAATTAGCCGGTCGTGGTGGCAGACGCCTGTAATCCCAGCTACTCGGGAAGCTGAGGCAGGAGAATTGCTTGAACCTATGGGGCGGAGGTTGCAGTGAGCCGAGATTGCGCCACTTCACTCCAGCCTGGGCGAAAGTGCAAAACTCTGCCTGGGAAAAAAAAAAAAAAAAAGAAAGAAAAAAAGAAGTAGATTGAGAGTGTTGCAGACACCTAGAAGAGGGACACTCTAGTGCCTGATTGAGACTAGGAACTGAAGAAGATCGAATTGTCAGGAGTGGGGGTGGTGACATTTGAGCTAGGTCTTAAAGGATGTGTAGGAGTTTTCCAGAAGGGAGAAGTCTATCCAGACACTTGTTACCTACTCAGGTCTAAGGAGGTTGACATAAATGGCCAAATCACATTTTAGAGACTCTGTGGATTTCAGCCCAGCCACTACAGATAGTAAAGCATTGTTGGTATATTTCTTTATTCAAATTTATTGCTTATAACATCCCTGATGTTTCCTTTTCCACTTGATGCTAAATTAATTACCATTTATTTTCCGATTAATATTCTGAATACTCTAAGGAAGGGAGTATTTCGCACATTTAGTGTTCAGCACATGTTCAAATATATAGATATTTAGCATATCAATTTTGGATGAAGAGTGAACTTTGAAAGTGATTTTCTCAAGGAGAAAACTCTTTCCATCTCCTATCATGCATTTCACCCTCTAGTGACTACAGTAAGAAACCATGATTGACCACCTGACTTTCTTTTTTTTTTTTTTTTTT